CGCGGGCCGCGCCTCGAAGCACCGGCGGCGCCAGAACGCGAGCGCCGGCGGGCTGCAGGCCCAGGGCGCCGGCCGCTTGCCCGAGAGCACGGCGTGCGCCACGGCCGTCGCGCGCCAGCTCGGCGGCCAGGGCGTCTCGCCGCGCGCGGACAGCTCGTGGAGCACGCAGCCGAGCGCGTAGGCGTCCGACGCCTCCGAGTACTCGCGGCGCTCGAGCGACTCCGGCGCCTCCCAGCGCACGGGGCCGAGCTCCTGCGTCGTGAACCCCTTGGACGCCGCCGCGGCCCGGAGCCGCGCGAGCCCGAAGTCGCAGACAACCGCCCGCAACTCGCCGTCGACCTACCGGGTGCGTCGGTAACGATGTTCATCGTTTTCCCCGGTCTCGAACATCGTCACGGCCGCGGGACACGGCCGTCGACGCGGTGCACGAGCAGGTTCCGGCACGCCAGGTCCCGGTGCACGATGCGCTCCGCGTGGAGCGCCGCGACGCCGCGCGCCGCGCCGAGCGCCAACACCAACAAATCGTCGCGCGTGAGCGCGCCGCCCGGCAGGAGCGACGCCCGCAGCGCCGACGACGGCCGCGCGCGGAGGAGCGCCTTCACGGAGCAGCGGTAGAGCCGCGTGACCTGTGTGCAAATCAACCAGTGAGCTGGGACGTCGGGGCCAAACTTCAGAAATCTCTAGCTCGGTCAAATCGAAGTCGATTCGGCTGATTTTTGGACGAATCGATTGCTCTCAGCGAGTTCTCGAAGCACGGCGGAAGTGCTCGTGTCAAAACATTCGAATACGCGCACATTGAAGTCGGGTTGAAGATTTGAATTCCACACAGCGCGTGACGATGGCGACCTGGGGCTCCTTGTACGGGTCCTCCCGCTCGATGACGACGCCGAGGAACTCGACGACGTGCGGGCCGGACGCGCGCGAGAGGAGCGCGACCTCGCTCGACACGTCCTCGCGGCTCAGGAACAGCTTCACGGCCACGCGCGCGCCCCTAAACTCGCCGCGCCAGACCTCCCCGAACGACCCCCGGCCGACTCTCCCGACGAGCCGCACGGCGCGCTTGTCGATGAGCAGGCTCGCGGGGATCGCGAGCTCGTCCATGCACCCGAGGGAGGGGCGGACGCCGAGGCGGCCCGTCGGCGTCGCCCAGCCGCCCTCGAAGGACGCGCGCGCGCTCGCCGGCGACTCCGCGTCGTAGGCGCCCCCCGGCGAGCCCGACTCCGCGTCGTAGACGTCCTTGGACTCCTCGCGCGAGAAGAGCGCGCGCCCGTCGACGTAGGACGCGCCCGCCGACGCGAGCCCGTCGTAGACGGGGCCGCTCGCGTCGTCCCGGGCCGCCTCCTCCTCCGGCGACGCGCGCGGCGG